GACGTCCCAACACAGGGGGCCTAAACAGCCGCTCCAAGTTCCTTCTGTACTTGCGGGCCTCCACGCGCTTGGCCATCTGGGAAATGTAGTTTCCCTGTGAAATGACACAACGGCACAGGACTATGGGAAGGGCTTTTCCGGGTTTCTTCTGCGCATGTGCGGCTCCGCCCACTCCGCCATCTTTTGTCTGGAAATTCCGGAAGCTGCCGTGGTCCCCACGCTGCTGCTCAGATCATGTGGTTGGATTGTACGTCCTTGAAGGTGGGTGCGAGGGTGAAAGAGGAGCCCTGCGGGCCTCGGGGCTCCTGGGTAGTGGGACAGGTGTCCCGGCACTTGGGGGGCAGAAGCGCCGCGGGCCTCGGGGGTCCTGGGGAGCGGGACGGTGTCCCGGCACTTGGGGGGCAGAAGAGCCGTGGGCCTCGGGCGGGCGGGGCCTGACGAGCGGCGCGAGCGCGGACCTGGGCCGGGCCGGGGAAGGGGCGCCCGGGCTGTGCTTTCCAGACGGTTCCGTCAGTCATCTGTAACGTGAGCGTGTAATGCCCCAGATTCCAGAGGTGAATCTGGGGACTGTGAGATGTGTGCAGACTGTCACTCTGTGGCTGCTGTGGTCGTGGGTGTCTTGGTGTCTCTTCAGCAAGTCACGTTTCTGGTCCCTCCTGCCCTGTGCGGCCTGCCTAGCGCTCCTGGTTTAATTTACCAAAGTTGATACACAACCTTGTTTCTAGGACAGTGACTTCTAGGAAGGAGATTGGGGCACTGGATGTCGGTCCCATTTTCTTTGGAGTGAAGGAGGTGTGACAGACTTTGAAGGACGGTGTCCTGTGAATAGGAATCCCACCTGGGGGAGCATCATTGTGGCTACAACTCTCTCAGTACTGCTTCAGGGCAGAGAGGCAAGAGAGTCCCAGAAAGGTGAAGATCTTAGCTTTGCACAGTCTAAACAATGATTGTGTCTAGTGCTTAGAGCGCACCAGAGTTGGCTGATAATACCTCATTCAGTGGGTACCTGAGACTGGATGGTGTGGGAAGGTTTGGGCCAACTTTTAGAAGGGAGAAGTGAATTAGACTGAGAAAGAGAGGCAAGGACCAGGAGGTGTTACTTATTG